TTGATTCATACTTTAAAGAAAGATTGTACCTAGGACTACCTGACTTACTAATTTCATCACATTTCTGAATATCTACGAATTAAATTTTTTTCACCTCACTAATGAGGTCTGTTAGTAGAGTTTCACAGCAGGGGAAAGTGAACTAAATTTTTCACCTCACTAATGAGGTCTGTTAGTAGAGTTTCACAGCAGGGGAAAGATCAATGTGTCACTGGGAAAAGGTCAGCACAAGAAACATTTTTCTTCAGCAAAAGAGAATGAGGAATTTCCTCCTATATGATTTCTTCTTACCAGGTGCAAACACTTTGAACTACTGTTGAGAGCTGTAAATGCATTCAGACACTTCTGGGCAGCAACTCACTACCAGCCATAAGAAATACTGGACAAAACCTCCATTATATCAGACTGCATGAGGCGGGCAAACAGTGTTGGTTTTCACTTTCAAATTATGTCCTATACATGGGCTTTATCAACATAAGGCTATCAAATAAGAATCCTCTATGTGTATAGTTTTAAATTTTTTTATTATGGATTTTTTGGGGGGGACTGCAGAATTTAGAGCATTAGCAGAATATAGCATAGCAGTTAATAAGGAAAAGGACTGTGTCCTGTCTTGTCCTCATGGATAAAAGACACTGCAAAACTGAGTGCAAGAGTAGCACAGTCAGCACAAACACTGGAGATATCCCACAACAGGGTACCTTCAAAGAAGTAAAGTTATTGATAGCAATTTTTGTATTTGCGAACAAGCCCTTCCATACTGTCTTGATCTGGATATTGTGGTCAGGATAGTACCTGTAACACTATAATAAAAAAAAAAAAAAAAAAAAAAGAAAAATTATGTCAAGAAATTTCACATGTTCACGTTCTGCAACACAACAGGTTGTTGTTATCCCAGCTTTTCCACTGGAGAAGATCGGGATTATTCAGACCAGTAAGAACATCTGTTTCAGTACACAGCTGCTATTTCTTCAATTGCAGTGTAATGAGATTCCTAAAATGTTTGGAACAGGATGCATTTCTGATCTTCAGTGTCATTATACAAGTCTGCTGTGTTGCTCCCAGCTTAAAAATGTTAAGAACAGCTGCACTGATGAAAAGCTTGTTGAAAACCCACTGGTGTTGCTGTTACATGAAAAAGGCACTGAGCTGTGAACATTCTGACTTCTCTAATGTCTGTCTTTAAACTTTGTGTTCACACTTTTTTAACATAAAAATATTGACACAAAAATTAATTCTATATCCTCCTCCTTCTTCTAGAACTATAGGGTTTGAGTAAAGCATCTAAGTGTCTAGTCACAGAGAAACTGTCAGGTAAAAGGAATTCTTCAAATGACACTGACAAATAACAAAATTCACCTGAAAGATGAAATCACACAATTCAAAGCAGACAGAAGCTTAAGAAAGGGAGTGTTTGACCTGAAACAACTTGTCAATGTAAATATTGCAGTCTTTCTTGAGGTATTCAGTTCAAAATGGATTGCTTTCTAAAATAAACTGTGTCAACAAACAAACAAAAACCAAACCAAAAAAAAATATCACAGCTTTGTACTGGATGAAACAATTATGGCCTGCAGTGATGAGACTCTATTTTTTAGTTACTTTATTTATGGTTTTTACAGAGTAAAAGTAAGACATAAGTGTTTGAGTGATTTGTGCAAAATAGCATTAGAAAAAAATTCTTGAAGAATGAAAAACACCTTTATATTGTGTTTGTTTAGACAAATCATAAGTAAAGAGTGGTGTTTTTTAATCTTTGCATTAGGAAAATATTTTAGAAATGAAAAGAAGCAAGGAATATGCCCAAGGTAATTTTTGGGAAAGTAAGTCTGCAAAAAAGTAGTTTGATTAGCAACATTTAAAGTTACTGTTAAATCTGGTATATGCTGATATCGGAAGTGATCACATCTTTGTAAACTAATGACCTGCTATCAGCAGAAACCTTGCTGCATAATCTAATTTTTACCAATGTGTTAGAACAAATAAATGTTTTAATGCCTCTTCATTTCCTACCTCACAATGGCATATGTTTAATCTGTGGAATTATTTATAATTAGCAATATTTTATAGGCTAATCTGGCATTGAAATTTTTAAAATTCTGGAATAAACCATCTTCTACAGAAAATTTAAGAAAAACTTTGTAAGAAGATCTGCCAGTTCAAAATTATTACTTCTCTCTGCTTTTTGATCTAATACTTGATATTTCATGCTTCTCTAATGCAGTCTCATACGTATCTTCATCCTTACATGCAATTACAAATAACACATTTTTATCGACATCTTAAATTGACTAAAGCATTTCTGTTCAGGAAAACTAAAGAAACTAAACCTTGTAACACATAGCTTGTGTGAATTTCATGTATCATCCCCCCATTCTAAGGGCAGCACAACACGTGTGAATTATCCAAGAAAATGAATGCCCAGACATCTCACTGAGTTTGGACTGCATTTCCTATATATCAAGACATCAATAATCAATCAGCACAAAACAGTGCAATGAAACCCAAGTCAAATTAAACCAAGAAAAGAAAAAAAATGCACTCTTATTTCTTTTCTGGAACAGTCTTTAAGTGGGAAGGAAAAATATGAATAAATGAAGAAAATTAAGAATATCTTTTTGCATATCTATATATCACAATACACTGTCTAAGATGAGCCAGGAGGTCCAATTTTGGCATGGAATAGTGCCAATTTTATAAAACTTTTATCTATCTATCTATCTATCTATCTATCTATCTATCTATCTCAGTTATAGCCAGACTTCTTTGGAGGTTGTTTGTTTTTGTGCTGCTTTGTTGTGTTATTTTTTCAGCACAGGAGATATTAAGTTTTAGGGAGCTGGAGATTAACAGGAAAGTATGTATTCAGTGAACAGTCAGCTTTGCCTTTTAAAAACTTATTTAAACTTGATAAGCTGCTTCTACTTAACAGTTTATAAATATAGCCCATTAATTCAGAGTTCTGAAATAACATATCCAAGATCTTAAGAAAAAAAGACCATAATCTTATTAATCTGCAAAATCTTATATTTGTTGTCATGTAAATGACATCTATAATTTTTGTTTCTGGAAGAGATTTCCTCTTGATTGTTGTTTTGTTTTCTTTTTTCTATCCCATCCTGGAAGTTTATCATTCTGACCCTAACCATTTACAGTTAGATAAATCTTCTACTTTCTCTCCCTTCACACCCCAACAAATAAATGGAACAGAAAATGAGGTCATTCATTACAGTGCGATAAAATCAGAAATTTGACTGAAGAAATGAAAGTCAGTTTCTTAGTAGACTTATAGTATTTTTACATCATATGGCCTTAAGTACTATGAAGATGCTAAAGATGCATAAACCTCTTTTCTTTTTTTTTTTCTTTCTTTTTTTTTTTAATATCTGGTGCAGAGATAATGCCAGGTCAGAGCTGATTTGCAGGGAAGAAAAGCAATAAAAAATTGGAATCTACTCAGGCTTGCTCTGCTTGAAGGCAATAGATTGTTTTATCATCCCTTTTACAAATTCCCATTTAGTTGCCCTATGTATTTTATAGCAACATTTGCAAGGAGACCATGGGCTTTTCTTTGAGTAAAGGAAAACTGAAGAATGACTATATAAAACAGTTTTAGAAGAGGATTTGTTTTCTGTCTATGGATTAGACTTGTGAAAAGAACAATTCATGCAGTTATTAATGAGCTTTGGGGTTTGTTCTTCTTCAGCCTTTGGAGAGAAAACATGCACGTTTTCATTATTTTAGCAGTAATCTCTTCCTGAAGTATTCCAGTCCCACAGAGCATTTCAAAAACTTATACAGTTAATGGTGACAGTGTGACAGACAAAAGGAGTTCAGGAAAGAGCCACTAATGCTGAAGGTGTATTACAAAAAGTGGTGGATTGTTCTATTAAGATAAATAACTTGCTCCCAATTTCAGAACATAGTGTAAATATGAATGTATGAAACTAGAGAGCAATCAATCAGGCAGTTAAATAGACAAAATTAATGAGATTGTTGAAAAGAGATACCATTTTTTTCAAAAAGTTAAACTGAATTGGGTAGCAAAGTCAGTCCCAATAATTTTTTTTTTTTATATGACAGTGTAAAGCTTTTGGATTCTTACCCTTTCAGAGACTGGATATAGAATTTCAAGGAAGATAAAACTTCTGTTAGCTTTGAAAAACAAATGTATTAATAGTTATTCATTGTCAAGTTGCAGTGTTTACTTTCCCTTTTCTATTGACCCACTATTTTACTGAAAGTTATACATCTTTAATGAAGTTATTTTCAAGTCATGTCCCTACAGAAGACATTACGCATTACTTACATTTACACCCTGGAACTACTCGCCTCTCATCCCTTTATCCTTTTCTGAACAACCAACTGCCTATTTCCAAGCAGAATGTACCAAATCCAATAAAAAATTGTTGTAGTTTTGCTTTTTTTATGGTTAACACAAAAGTACACTATGCACTAGAAATTCTGCACTCTCATACAGTGAGATCTCACATTAGACATGAACTGCTGAAACCTTCAATTTTGTTCCAGTAAAAACTGGACTAAAGAAACTTTCTGTTCTCTTTCATTCAAATACTTATTTTGCTTTGAGGGGGAGGAAAGAGGAAATTAAATTTGTAAATTATTTCCACGAGTTTCAGGGATGCTCATATTGGCAGCCACTGGTGCGGGTGCAGAGGGGGACTCACTCTCCAGTCACTGAAAGGCCACATCCCCCTTTGTGACCCTTTAGTGCAGCCTGACAAGCACAGCGCCCTGCACACTTCTATAGGAGGCTCCTGTCCCTGATGAGAACCACGGGGGTGACCCTCATAACCTTTGGATCTAAAGAAATCTAAGCTAAAGAAATCCTAAGCTAAACCACCTCCTTTGAACCCACCTGCCTCTGCCTGCTGGCAGCTCTGCCTCACCCATTACCCACTCCCCGCAGCAGCCCTCCGGCACGGCCGGGGCCTTCCTGCGAGGCGACCCGGCTGGGATCGGGATGCAGCTGCCCTTACCTGGAGCGAAAACCATGGTGCCGCCCGGGCAGCGCGGCTCAGCACCTCGGACAGCTCCCGGCCCCCGCTGGGATCAGCACCCGGACAGCTCCCGGCCCCGCCGGATCAGCACCTCGGACAGCGCCCGTCCCGCCGGGCTCAGCACCACGGACAGCGCCCGGCCGCGCACGGCGGCGGAGGCGGCCGCGGTCCCTCCCTCCACAATGCGGCGGGGCGGGGAGGGGGCCGGGGCGCCCGCACGGACACACGCACACACACACACACGCACACACACACGCTCTTCCTCTCTCTCTCTACCAGGGAACCATCACTGCCATAACTCCTGAAGTGGCAGCAAGGGTAAGGGCAAAAAGGAGAAAGGCAACAGCGATCGATCTGCCCGGCAGGGAGACCGGTTAATTGCTCCCAATTAATTACCCCTCTCGACAACAGTCCCGCTGCCTGACATTTTGGGGTGCGCGGCTTTCACTGCAAGCTGAAAGCACTGGTAACAGGCTTCAGCAACACCGTAGTTTGTCACAGCATTTTTGCTTCCAAAAGCTCAGATGCTGAGGAATTTATACTCTGATTTCACAGGCCCGTTTACCCAGCTGTACCCAACAGCAGCAACATGAATATTTCTGCACATAGAAGAGGATATCAAGGCAAAACCGTATAAAAAATAATGAATAGTAACAAAATAAAGACAATGAGGGTCAACAGCAAAAGACTACTTAAAATTTCCTACCATCTTTTATGTTTCAGGTTTAATTTACTTTTGTTTGTACAACCCATAGTCAGGATTCCTTTGGACCATGAACTCCTACAGCAGAAGAGAAAAACACAGCCAGATGGGACAAGCTTTACAAAAGCTAACTCTCCTCTTTAAGCCTAACTTGCAAGAGGGAGTTTGAAAAACATTATCAGTGCAAATTATAGAAAGTACATTAAAAAAAAAAAACAAAAAACCCATACATTTTTGTATGTATATGTTTGCAATATGCAATATCTTTTCCAATCACATTTTCATAACCTAAGATACTCTTACGAGCTTATTTCATTCTTTTCATAGTCAAGCATTTCACAAACACAGAATTCTCCAATTAACCTGGAATACTTGAAATCTCAAAATAAGGCCTTATTCTTAAAATACAGGTACAGAAAATCACTGACCTCCTTAAATAGTATTGCTGATATACTTCAGCAAGAACTCAAGAGTGTCATCACGTTCAAAGTCAAACTAACCATCTGGTGGTAGGGGTTTTTTTGGGGGGGAGGGCATTTTTGTTTTGTTTTTGTAGTTGTTGTTTGTTGGTTTGGTTTTTTTAAGTGCGTAACATCTTTTCTCCTTGGAATGCCTTCCAGATTTGTCTTCACTTACCATTTCTAGTATCCAGTTTCTGGATATTTCTTTTAATCCCCTTAGCAATTTCAGCTTCTTTATTGCTATTTGTTTCCCTGTTCTATTTCAGGGATCAGTTTAATTTCTCTCAGATGTCAGTTGAATGAACAAACATAAACTTACCCCTGGTTGCTCAGGAATGGTGTTCCCTTTAAAAATGTGACTTCAAAAATCTCTATTCTAACCTTTTCTCATCTATCATTATTCCCAATCAGCTTAAGTATGGGAACTAACAGCGTACCTAAGAACTCAGTTAGAAGAATTTCTAGTAAAAGTATCCCACACAAAATACAGAAACTAATGCAGTCAGCAATATTCAGTATTCATAAGAGAAAGGTGAAGGATACTCCATAATCTTTAGAAAATCATGATTGATCCATAATCTGAAAAGACTGCAAGAAAATTTACACTGGTGTTTTTATGAGATATCCGTTATGTGGCCCTTAATGCTTGATGGAAAGTTATCCATCATTAAAATAAGGTATTAAAGCACTTCTCAAAAAAAAAAAAAATCCATTGGATGTATTTCCATTACATACAGTCTCAAATTATATGGATTTTTTAAGGGATTGTGTTTTGAGATGGTGGAGCAGCTGCAAAAAGATTTTTAAAACAATAAATGATATCAAAGTCTGTAAGTGACCTGCAAAATTCTAGGTGGGTATATGCAACTCGGAAATAGAACCGACACCATTTTAGTGAAAGAATACAGTTCATTAACAATAATGCTCATGAATATCTTTCTCTAACTTCTATATTTAATCTGATAAATAACTCAAACAAGTTGCATTTCATTCTAGAATTTGCAGTTTTCTTGCTCAAACGAAAAGCTAACAGCAAGTAATGTTTTCTGTCAGACAAAGAAATTTTATCAAAAAGGTTTTTGACCTTGTTTTTGTTATAGAGATAATTTCTGAATTTTGGATTGGGCCACAAGTTCAAATTCATCCAAAAAGTCACTGAAATAATTGCACAGGACAAAGATCTATAGTGAATTGTCACCTCAGAAAGAGTGTGGAGTTAATGCAGTACAACCCCTGAAACGAAGAGTGCATTACTAATTTTTTTTCATTCAACTTTAGAAAAATGGAAAACAACACTAGTTATGCCCACCTATTAAAAACAAAAATCCCTCGAGAATTAAGCATATTGGTAAAAAGGAGATTATATCATTAAACACAATATATTTAAAGATGTTCCATCAACATGCATGAAATAGGAAGCACAAAAACACTTTTTAAAAATCTGTATATATTTTTATCAGTAATTGTACAATCCCTGCCTTGTACATAATTTAAATTCTTAATCTTTAATGAGGAATTACTGAATTCCATATAACATTAGTGGACTTAAAATTCTTTGGTATATATCTTCAAATACTTTTTTGAAGATGTCTTGGCTTACTTACAAAGTACTTAGTTAAAAACTGTAACAATTTTTTAACAGACAGCTAACATTTCCAGACAGTTACAACAATCATGTTGACTGATGTCACTTTAAATCATCCATGCTATTCATAATTCTGTGGATTTAGATCTGAAGCAAGCCCTTTATTCTAATGGAGATGAGAACAATTATTTGGTCACATAGGTTCAGAAGCTTAGTAAATCTCTATTCAGGAAGGAGCCCTTTCCACCTGGTAATGTGCAAGGTTTCAATGTTTTGATAAAAAAACCTACAACTAACATTTTACAGGTAGCATTTTAAACTCTTTTCTAAAAGAATCATTCAGAATGAATCACCTAAATATAAATTAACACATTCTACAATAAAATAAATATAATGAGATAATCAAGATTTCATATGTGTTACATCAAATACATTAAAAAGTATTATATGTTGTAAAATTATTTTTTACAACTTTGAGAACTAATTATCTCTGAGCCTTTGAGAACTAATTATCTCTGAGCTTTTTTCTTTATTTTCTCCCACACTTATACATTAATAATCAAATCTAGATTTTTGGGAGGGAAAAGTAATATGATTAGGAAACTGCTTGAATTATTTGATGTCTTTTGCTATATTGGCTAAGACTATAATGGTCTTCAAAAAGTGATTACAGTCACTGTAATCTCATGGTTAAGCTTAACATTAAAATCTTTACTAGCCAAGATGCAATATATTACATCTGAAACTGCAAGGAAGCTGTTTAGAGGAAATTGTGACTGGGTGTCATCAAGAAATATCTAAACATTAGATGAGTATTTGAAATGTCAAATTGCAATCTGTACAGCAGGGATCATAATAGTCAGGATCCTAGATTTAGAAATATAACATTTAATACCTCTCTGATTAATATACCTCTAACAGACAGAAGTAGAAAATAAACAGAGAAAGTAGAAAGGAAAAATAAAAATAGACACAAGTGCCATTCTCCTAAAAACAATAATAAAATGAAAAGACAGTTACCTTTTCAAGAGTGCTTCAGAAGAATAGTGGTGCACAGATTTCCAGCAGCCAAAGAGAAGACACCATGAAAGCCAGAAGCAAGAACACACAACATTTCCCAAGACAGTAAAAACTGAATATCATTAAAGACAAGTGCAGCCAATAGTATTTTCATTCATTGGTCTATTAATTTTTCTTAATTAATCTGACAAACTACATAGTAGTGCAGGGCTGTGATTTACAAATATGAAAAAATTTAAGACAGAGTCTAGTAGAAATAGCCATACAGTTTTGTGGTGTTTGTTTTGTTTTGTTTGTTTGGGCTTTTTAAAGCATCACAAAGATGCATCCACCCCAGGACTTCTCACAGCCTATAAACATAACCCAGAACACCCACATCCATCTAGGTAATATTTCTAGCTGATTATATTGCCACCCTCACAACTTCTGAATGCCTTACACCCACCCATTAATGATTATCTTCCAACAGTCCCATAAAAAGTAAATTGGTATCTTTCTCTTATAGACAGGAGTCAAAATCGGAGCTGAACCCAAAACAAAAGCCAATCAATAAAAATCTAAGAATTAGATAAACTCAGGAGGCTTACATAAAAGATATAATGACTCACCTAAAATATTACCACATACACAACTGTGCAGTGGAGCCAAAGTGATCGCTGTTCCCACCTGCCACACCTCTGCAGGTTGTCAGTCCCTTCACCAAGACAGATGAATGAGTCACAGTCCAAAATTTAGAGTCTTTCCATCATGCAGGAATTCTTTCATACAGCAAGGAATTCAGTCCACTCAAGTCCTTGGCTAATGACTTTGGATCTAGCAGAAACACTGTGAAAGATAGGCAGAGGTTTTAAAGGACCTCACACACAACCACTGTTCTGTGACCTGTCTCCTGACATGTCTCCTTGGACCAGGCCATACCATTCTGCACCATATTGAAAATGAATAGGATGAGTTGGAAGTGTCCTTCAAGTGCAATTCTTATCTTCAAACCTTTTGTATTCCTATCAGCAAAACTTTCACTTCACTAAAAATGAATATTTTTGTATGTGTCTTTCTTTTTTTCTATGAAAACAGTTTTAAGACTCTGATCATTCCACAGCTTATTGGTGTGTGTAACTTGACATGATATGTCTTTCCTTTTTCTATGAAAACTGTTTTAAGACTCTGATCATTCCACAGCTTATTGGTGTGTGTAACTTGACATGCAAGTCATAAAATTAGGCCTTTTTCTCAAGTTTTCAAGGAACTTAAATGGAGAGAAGCATTTATGACCCATAGAAGAACAGCTAGCCAATGAGCTAAGTAAAAGAAAAGTTAGCTTTAGAACGAATGAAGATTTCCAGACTTAGAAAAAAATACTATTAAAGTCCTCAATCAATTATATATTTTGATAAAAGTAAACCTAAATATTAAACCACATGCACAATTTAATGCTCAAAGAAAAGAAAAAAGGTCAGTAAAATGTAAATACCAAAGTCATCATTTGAATGTGCTACTAAATAGCTTAGATTGTTCAAGAACTGAGAATGGGGAAATTATACTGAATTACAGCAATATGAAATACAAATGGTAAATACACAATACAGCTTCCTAACTTGC